TCCACCGTACACTCACTGTCATTGCCATCTGGCACACCACCAGAGGTCCAAAGCAATGGGTCTGCTGGTCTTGGACTGGAATCTCCAGAACTGGGAGCCAAAGTAAACCTTTTGTCTTTATAAGTTAATTATCTCAGGCATTTCACTAAAATGGTGGAAAACTAAATAACAGAAAGAAAGGAACATGCTATTGCTGCTCTGCACATGATGGGAACACTAACCTCACTGTGAGAAGAACCTCAAAAATTATGATACGTGCTTATTGATTAAGAAACCATCCACACCTTCGTGGCAAAAGTGTAATAGGGACTTAGAGAAGCTGCTTTTGTTAAAAGCACTAATTCTACTTAGTTCTGCAGATGCCCAATGGATGACTGAAAGTAGAATAAAGCTTGGCATCTGTGCCTTCATTTTGTATCATTTTAGGTACATACATGGTGTTGCAAGTTTGTAGTCCCAGCTACTTGGGAGGCTAAGGCAGGAGGATTGGAAGTTCAAGTCTAGCCTAGGCAACTCAGTGAGACCCTGTCTCAAGGATCAGGATACAGTGTGGTGTTGTGATTCCTGGATTTGATCCCCAGTATCAAAGAAGATGCTCAACATCATATTGATCAGGGAAATGCAAGTCAGAATCACAATGAGATACCACTTCATATTTGATAGGATGGCTATAATACAAGAGAGAAGACAAGAAAATATCAGCAAGGTTGTGGAGAAATTGGAACCCTTACATACTGCTGATGGGAAGGTAAAACGGTACAGCTGTTTTCAAATGTTCTGGCAATTCTTCAAAAGGCTAACTGTAGAATCCCCAATTTATGTATCAGTTCCCCTCCTAGGTATATGCCTGAGAAGATATGTCAATGAAAAAACTTGTACATAAATGTTTATAGCAGTATTACTCATAAAAGCCATAGTGTCCATCAACTGAGGAATGGGTAAATAAAATATGGCATATCTACACAACTGAAAATGATTTGGTAATAAAGAAGGTGAAATGACGGTGCATGTTATAACATGGATGAACCATGAAAACCCAATGGTACATGAAAGAAGTTGATCATAAAGTGCACATGTTGTATACAAATCTATAGAGATTAGTACCATCTATGGAGTAGAGGAGTGGTTTCCGAGGACTGGGGTATATGGGGGAGTGGAGAGTGAGGGCGAAGGGATGTAATGCTGTTTTCTAAGGTGATGAGAATGTTCTAAATTGATTGTGGGGGGTGGTTGCACAACTCTGTGATTACACCTAAAGCCATTCATTTTTACACCTACAAGTTTGTAAATTTTTATAGTATGTGCATATATTTCAATAAAGCTAAAAAAAACTAACTATAATTTACATCTAATTGACAGACTGTTTATACTACCCTGGATTCTATAAGAAATGTCTGGGTATGGAATAAAGGTGGTCAGAGAAATTGCTGTGGAAAGAAGTATGGGGTTGCCTAGACTATAAGTAGAAAATCTTCATTTCAAAAGAGCTCTTGAGGCTGCTGTTAACTGGACTTGGACTTGGACTTTGTGCATGGCTGTGATACCTCCACTAGACCTGTGCTGTCCAAGATGGAAGCCTTTAGTCACAGGGGATCGTGGTGAACCTGAAATGCGGATAACCCAATTGAGATGTGTTGAATACCCACTGACTTTTGAAGACCTAGAATTAAAAAAAAAAAATCTCATTAGAGTAATGTTTCGTATTGATCACGTGTTTAAATGATATGTTGGTTACATTGGGTTAAATGAAATATGAAAAAGTTTAGAAAGAAGCCATATTCTGTGAGAATGAGAGCTTTCCTGGGGGTGTGGCTGTCTGATCACGGATATGCATGATCTCAGTGTGCGTCTGTCTGCTCAAGGATAGGAGAGGACAAGGAGACAGGTGGGCAGCTCTCGGAGCGCTGGAGGACTTGAGGGGAGAGGCAAGACCTGGGAGCGCTGGGAAGTTTCACCTGATGTCCCACTTGCTTCCTCTCTAGCCCTGGGTTCAGAGTCAGGGCGAGCCAGGTCCGGAATTCTTAGTCACACACTGCCCTTGTCTCCAGTGACAGAGTTAAGTGAAGAAATGGTGCATGAGCAGGAGGGAGAGTCATTCTTTTAGTTTCTGAAATAAATTTGTAAACCATTTTTTCCTGTTAAATTCTAAGATAAGGAGGGGTGCAGAGGGAGAGGGACTGTATTATAAATCAAAAAGAAGCCCACAGTCCTTACTTTAGGGACTTGAACCTGGTTCCCTGCGTGGCAGAAAGGCTGATTCCAGGGGAAAGGTGTGGAGGGAGATACAGAAGGCGTCCTGTCCTCCCACATCAGACCTTGACCAGACACCAAGTGCAGAGGCAGGTGGTTGGCATCCCTCAGCTTTGTTTGCCCATGTGTGGTTTTGCCATTTTTGTTGTTGTTGGTTTAAAAGACAAGAGTGGAGCCATCAGAATGCCTCACTTGAGATTGCTGACACAACAACCCCAAGGAAGTATCCTGGCCCTTATCTAAAAAACAGAGAGTCTTAGTATGCTTTTGACACAGTGTTTAAAAATCATGTTTTCCAAAAAGCTGGGAAATATCAATGGAAAAAAATCAGCAGCAATTTGGATCTAAAAACCAATTGGTCAAAAAAAAATATGATTGGGCTGGGGTTGTGGCTCAGTGGTAAATGCTTGCCTAGCCTGTGTGAGGCCCTGGGTTCAAACCTCAGCACCACATACAAAAAATAAACAAATATAATAAAGGCATGCTGTCCGTCTACAACTACAAATTTTTTAAAAACATGATTATCATCCATTTCATAGCACATAAATTAGCTTCCCTCTTTATGGATGTATTGCAGTAATACTTTAATCTTAACCCTTGCTCTTTCTGCTGTCAGTCACTGAGGTAGTGTGCTGCGCCCCTCCCCTGACTCAGGCAATGGCAAGGCCCTACTGAGGTGGATGGCACAAGGCGTCCATCCTCTGGAGGAGCGCAGTATATTTCTGGGAATGGGCTGGTTTGTCTTTGTATTCCTTTAATAAGTATAGTTGCGACTTCTCATATGACCATTAAGTATGAAGGAAAAAACATGACTTTCCCAATTAATGCAACTACTTCTAAAGAATAGATCTGTTTGCTCTAAATGCAATGATTCAGCTGTGGAGCATAAATTGTTAATGTCTAATGAAAAACTCGCTGTATTCCTGTCAAGGAAGGTTTTGAGAAATTAAATTAAAATCTAGAGAAGAAGAATTAATGTTAAGAAAACAGATTAGTGCTTAGTACTGGGCAACTTGTTCTTGTTCCTGTGCACAATGGTTTGTGCTCTTGCTCTTGTTTGATTAAAATTAGTAGCCTCTCTTTTTAAGTTAACCACTTGCTGTAATCATGGCACCGGTTCCAGTCAGTAAGTCAAGAAAGAATAGTCAAGGTATAGGCCAGTAGTCTGGGACATTTCTAATTATTATTAAAAGCTAACTAAGCAGAAACAGCTCAAAGCCAAACTCGAACTGAAAGTAAAAATGCTTGCTTATGCAGAAGCCAAGATACATTCTTCTATTCTAATTGTAGCTATGTAATACTTTGTTTCTTTGAATAATTATTTCTGTTTTGTAATTATAAAGTACTGTGAGCCTGCCAAAATGAAAAGTATATATGATTAACTTCACAAGCAAAGATTGGGATTCAGCACCTTCACTTTGGTGTCTGTGTTGTTTCTCCACCCCCCTTTTGCCGACTCCTCACCATCCGTTCCTCTCCTGAGACCCCCTGTTGGAGCTGGACTCCGACAGTAGTGCATTGATCAAAAAGCCAGAGGAAGCTAGATGTGGTGGTGCATGCTTATAAACCCAGCTCCTTGGGAGACTGAGGCAGGAAGATTGCAAGTTTGAAGGCAGCCTCAACAATTTAGCAAGACCCCGTTTCAAAGTTAATATAAAAAGGGCTGGAGATGTAGCTCAGTGGTAGAGAGCCCCTAGGTTTCATCCCCCTTACCTCCAAAACAAACCAAAAAGCTAGAAGAAGAGCAAAGCAGCTGAAACACACCCAGACCCACACCCCTGCCTCTCCCAGCACACCACTGGAATAGGCTTTTTGAATTCAGTCGTAAAAATCTATGGATTATTAACATTGCCTCCTTCACTTTGTTGGTGTCAACAGCAGTGAGCTGACTGTAGTGAAGGGACATGATTCTCTTTGAGCACATTTCTATCAATTGGCCCACAGACCCTATTTTATATTTGAAAAGGAGAAAAGCTCATTCTTACTGCGATGTGTAATCCCAGTGGACTTCAGTAGATGGCATAAAAGAGCTTTCTTGTCTTTTTTTTTTTTTTTCCCAACACTGAATCTGGTTGCCAATGAAATAAAAGTTCACGGAAGTTACTTGAATTTCTTAAAGGCTGCCTAACAGAGAACAGACTAGCAGGTTGTCTTGGTAAGCAACATCTTATTTTATTCCACAAAAGAAAATAATGGTGTAGCTAGTTACTGGGTGTAGAAATTGCAGAAGCCTCTAAACCCTGGGTTCTATTTCATATATATACTTATTGTGTGGTTTGAACTAGCATTTTTTTTTATCAGCTCCTAATCCTAAATCAGAGAAAAAATTTATTTTGCTGGATGATACTTCATGTGTGATTTGCTTTCAAGAGAGATTTTTTAAGTAGGAAGATAAACATTTGGATCACGGAGGTTTTCTGGCTTTCTTTCAGAGCTTCCCGTTTTTAAATTTTAGATGACATTACCCTTCCCCTCGTCCCTCTCCATCCACAGTCTTTGCATTGAAAATGTTCAGGAAAATGGGACATGTGATGGTTTGCTTATGGTTAGAGTGTGTTCTTCCAAGGGTTCACGTCTTGGAATTTAATCCCTACGGTGAGGTGTTGAGTGGGTGGAAACTCAAACTGATTCTGGGATTTAGAGGTGGGGCCTTTGGAAGGGAGTGAGGATTAGGTAAATTAGGTAAATTAGGTAAATTAGGGTGAGTTCCATGATTGAGTCTTTATAAGAAGAGAGAGAAAGACCAGAAGACACACACACACACACACACACACACACACACACACACACGTGCCACGAGATGCCTGCACTGCGTTGGGACTGCCAGCAAAAAGATCATCACCAGATGCAGAACCTTTATTTGGACCAGTACTGTGAGTCCAAATCAACCTCTTTTCTTGAGTAGCCTGCCTTAGCTATTTCGTTATACTAATTAAAAGGAAAAAAAAAAACAAAAAAAACAAAAAAACCAGGCTAGCGTAGGATATGCACGTCTCCAGCTCCTCTGTTGGAATGGGTGGGTTTATTTTAGTTTTTATTTGGGGTTGTCCCCACCCTTTTTCTGAGAACACTGAAACTGTTCTGGAGAGCTAGAGGTCAGGAGGAATGGTAGGTTTTTGAAAATGTTTTTAAGGTCACCTTCAGTTTGTTCAAAAGAACTGAAAGTGATTCCATCTTCTCCACAAAAAGCAAAGGTTCGCAAAACCACATGGAAACCAAGCAGAAAAATCTCTCAAACTGGTTCCAATCCTTTTATCTTGTGGTTCATAGCTAGTTGATTTGGTGCAGAGAAGTCTTGTGTTATGTATTTGCAGGACTGAACTTCAGGGCCAGATTGTTTGAGAAGTATACATGAGGATCAGTGAAATACCAACTTAATGCCCCCAAAGTCTCCAAACCAAGCAGGTTCAAATGTATTGCCTCCCTGAATCATCCAACGTGGGGCTACACCTACCATAATCACAAAAAAAAAGACAAACAAACCTGAAGGTTCTTATGCTTTTAAATTAATTGGCCCACAGCTTCCTTTAACTGTTCAATTCAGTAAGTAATCATTTATTTGGTAGTAAAAGAATTTTGAGCTTCTAATATAGATGAATGTTAGTGACTGTCATTCAGACTTTGAGCAAAATATATTTTGTTTAGAGAATTGAAACATGGATTTTCATTGAGTTTAGCAAGTTTGGTATATAAAATTTATAGATCCTGTAAATGTCTAAAATCAGTTCTTTATGTGTGCAATACTTAGATTTCTTAATTGTAGAAATTAAAAATGGTTGTGTCAATTGAGTACTTTAAAGTAATGATTCTCTCTCTATATATACCATATAAAATCATCATACACTCTCTCTCTCTCTCTCTCTCTCTCTCTCTCCCTCTCCGCACACACACACACACACACACACACACACACACACACACACACACAACGGAGTTTTATTCAGCCACAGAGAATGAAATTATGTTATTTATAGGAAAATGGATGGAACTTGAAGACATCACGTTAAGCAAAATAAGCCAAGAAAGCATGAAATAAAAATGTAATGTTTTCTCTCATGTAGAAGTTAGAGAGAAAAAAGGAAAAAAAGGGGTCTCATGAAAATAGAAGGCCTATCTAAGGGTAGAGGAAGGAAATCACTGGGAAGGAAGAGAAAAGGGAAAGAGGGAGTATGGTGGGGGGTAAAACTGATCAAATTAGGTTATGTGTAGGTAAGAATATGCCATAATGAAACCCACTAGTCAATGTAATTAACATACAACAATTTAAAAAAAACCCCAAAACAATCGATGATTTTAAATGACAGAGCAAAATGAGGACTGGGGGTTGAGTCAATTAATTCATCTAATGATATTTGAGTCAATTAATTTAGCTAGATAGGAAACTATACTTTTATTAAATACTTGGGGACAGGCAATTTCATCCATTTAAATCTTTTAGGAAGTTGTGAAGGAATATTTTGGGAAATTTCTAGGCCTTTCCACCAAATATAATCAGTGCCATAAAAAGACCACCTTCACTTTTAACACGAACTTAAATGTTTGTCTCATCTTTCTTGCTCAGTCTTTGTGAATGCAATTAAGAGGGGCCTTCCTCTGTGTTCGAAGAAATGAGGATAACTAAGGTACCTTTGGACATTCCTACCAAAGGGTAAGTCCAAGGCCAGCTCTGCAAATCAGTTCAGTTTGTATGTCTAACTTGGGGAACTTTTGCAACCAGGTTGTTTCTGGGAGTTGGATTATTTAAGTTCTTCTGCACCAGCTGAGATAAGGGCAGGGATGTGGGAGGAGGAATCTTTGCTGGTGCTCATGGCCTGCTCGTCAGTGCTGTTCCCAGGGATTTTGAATACGTTCTCTGAGAGCTGTGTGGCTGTGCGGCCCCAGCTGGAAGGGTGTCTGGGGCAAGAGGCGTATCACTCTCCGGGGTTCATTCCAAGGCAGCTCCTTTGATACCATGTGTCACTGGAAGGATAATGATAAATGGCATCTGAGCCACCTGGGTTGATAACTAGTGCAACAGGCACAACCTAAGACAATGTCTAGCACTTCACTGAGAAAAATACATACTCCATGAAGGAAACACAGAGAAGGAAACAACTCCATTCCTCAGAACCTCCCAGGGCTCCCTGCCCTTGGCTCTCTCACCCAGTTAGAACCCTGACTGCTTGCAATGATCTCCAAGGCCCCGTGTGATCTTGGCTTCCTCTTACCTTTGCTCCCGTTGACGGTGCTAATGGGATCTCCTTGCTCTTCTTGAGACAAGCCAACTTCAATTCCATCTCAGGACCTTTGCCAAAAATGCCCCACCCCCAGGTTTTTCCACAGTGAATCATTCACTTGATTCTGATTTTTTACCCCAGAGTCATCTCAAAAAGGCCTTCTCCAATGAGCCAATCAAAAATATCCCAGCAAGCACCATCTCATACTTACAATTCACACTGCTTCGGGTTTCTACGTTGCACTTATCACTACATGAAATCAAGGTTAGCCATTTCTTTCTTTATTTTCTGTCTCCCCATCAGATAGATAATTAACTCCTTGAGAAATAGGACTTTGTCTTGTTCACTGCTCTGTCTCTAGTTCCTAAAGCATGGCCAATAGGTAAAAAAATAGATTAATGAATAGATCTTCTTTTTTTTTTGTCTTTTAAAAAAATTGTTCTTTTTAGATATACATGACAGTAGGGTGTATTTCAACATATTCTACACATATAGAGTACACCTTACTCGAATTAGGATCCCATTCTTGTGGTTGTACATGATGTGGAGCTCTATTGGTTGTGTATTCATATATGAACATAGGAAAGTTATGTCCAATTCCTTCTACTGTCTTTCCTATTTCCATCCCCCCTCCCTTCCCTTCATTCTCTTTTGTTAATCCAGTGAATTTTTACTCTTCCTATCCCTGCCTTTATTATGTGTTAGCATCCGAATATTAGGGAGAACATTTGGACTTTGGAGTTTTGGAATTGGCTTATTTCACTTAGCATGATATTCTCTAGCTCCATCCATATGCCAAATGCTATAATTGTATTCTTTATTATTGCTGAGTAATATTCCATCATATATATGTCACATTTTTCTTTATCCATTCATCTGTTGAAGGGCATCTAGGTTGGTTCCATAGCTTAGCTATTGTAAATTGAGCTGCTATACACACTGATGTGGCTATGTCACTGTACTATGCTATAGTCCTTTGGGTATATACCAAGGAGTGGGATAACTGATTCAAATGGTGGTTCCATTCCAGGTGTCCTGAGGAATCTCCAGACTGCTTTCCAGAGTGGTTGCACCAATTTGCAGTCCCACCAGCAATGTATGAGTGTACCTTTCCCCCCACAACCTTGCCGATATTTATTGTTACTTATATTCTTGATAATTGCTATTCTGACTGGAGTGAGATAAAATCTCTGTGTAGTTTTAATTTGCATTTATCTAAGTGCTAGAGATGTTGAGCATTTTTTCATATTTTTGTTGACTGAATGTTTTTCTTCTTTGTGAAGTGCCTGTTCTGTTCCTTTGCCCATTTATTGGTTGGGTTATTTGTGTTTGGGGGGGGGGGTTAAGTTTTTTGAGTTCTTTATATATCCTGGAGATTAATGCTGTCACTGAGATGCAGGTGGCAAAGATTTTCTCCCATTCTGTAGTTCTCTCTTCACATTCTTGATTATTTCCTTTTCTGTGAAGAAGCTTTTTAGTTTGATACCATTCCATTTATTGATTCTTGATTTTACCTCTCGTGCTTTAGGAGTCTTGTTGAGGAAGTTTGTTCCTAAGCCCATGATGGAGATTTGAGCCTACTTTTTCTGTTAGTAGGTGCTGGGTCTCTGGTCTAATGCCTAGACCACTTGACTACTCTGAGCTGAGTTTTATGCAGGGTGAGGGACAGAGGTTAAATTTCATTCTGCTACATGTGGATTTCTAGTTTTCCCAGCACTATTTGTTGAAGAGGCTATCTTTTCCATTGCATGTTTCTGGTGCCTTTGTCTAGTATGAGTTAACTGTATTTATGAGGGTTTGTCTCTGTATCTTCTATTCTTCTATTCAAGCCTGTTTTGGTGCCAATACCATGCTGTTTTTGTTACTATAAGTCTATAGTATAATTTAAAATCTGGTGTTGTGATGCCTCCTGCTTTTCTCACTAAGAATATTTTGGCTATTCTGGGCTCTTATTTTCCAAATAAATTTCATGACTGCTTTTTCTATTTCTAAGAAGAACATCATTGGAATTTTTAAAGAAATTGCATTAAATCTGTGCAGTGCTTTTGGTAGCATGTCCATTTTGATAAAGTTAATTCTGCCTATCCAAGAACATGGGAGATCTTTTTGTCTTCTAAGGTCTTCTTCAATTTCTTTCTTGAGTATTCTGTAGTTTTCAGTGAATGCACCTTCTGAAAGACCTTTTGTTATGATTTAATTAGCTTTTGAACAAGACAAATGTTAGCCCAAACCATATGTCAATAATAGAAGATAATGCAAGAACAGTCCTAATCCAGTCATATGGGGGGACTCTCAAGAAAGTCCTGGGGAGACACACCCTTTCATGTCTAAGGTACCAGATGAATCTTAGCCTCAGTTCTAAATGAGCTTGGAAGGGTCAGGGCCAGAACCATCTTTTAGATGAACCATCTTTTAGATTCCTACAGCTGCTGTAACAAATTATGATAAGCATATAGAAACTTATCCTCTCATAGTCCTGGAGGCTGAAAGTACATTAACTAGGTGTTGGCAGGGCTGAAGCATCTCTAGAATCTCCTCCAGCACCTAGGCTACAGGTATTCCTAGCCTTGTGGCTACATTACTCCAGCCACCGCCTGCCTTCATGTGGTCCTCTGCTTGGTGTCTCTGTCAAATTCCTCTCTGCCTCTTTCTTATAGGGACACTTATCATTGGATTTACTAAGCATCTGGATAATCCAGAACAATCCTCCATTTCAAGGTCTTTAACTTTATTTCTACAAAAACTATTTTTCTAAATAAGGCAACATTCATGGTTTCCGGGGATTAGGAGGTAGATATACCTTTTGAGAGAAACCACCCTTCAACCATTACACCATCCATTCTTAGTTATTTGGTTAGAATTCACATAATCATTTATCTTCCTGATTTTAGGTTTTATAACCATAACAAGTGTAGCTTTCATTTTATAAGTCTCTAATAAGCATGTTTAATGTCAGCTATGCTTAATTTGAGATAATCATTTAATATGGGTTTTTTCCCCTTAGGAGCTGTACCCGTGTCAAGATGCTCTGAAGAATAATAACTATACCAGGAATGTCTAGTGTTACAAAATGACTGAAAAGAATTCTAGTCTCTTTCAATTTGTTATCATCTTGGTGGTAGTGGTGAAGATCAAAATCCAACTATCTGACGAAAGTGAATTTTTAGTTGACAAGTCAAACACAGGCCTCACCCACATTCCCAAGGAACTCGCTCTTGAAACAACAGCCTTAGATGTCTCACAAAACTATATATCTGAGCTTCAGACTTCTGACATCCTATCACTGTCAAAGCTCAGGATTTTGATAATTTCTCACAACAGAATCCAGTATCTTGATATCAGTGTTTTCAGATTCAACCAGGAATTGGAGTACTTGGATTTGTCCCACAACAAGTTGAGGACGATATCTTGCCACCCTGCAGTGAACTTCAAGCACTTAGACCTTTCATTTAATATGTTCGAAGCACTGCCCATATGCAAAGAGTTTGGCTGCATGTCTCAGCTAAAATTTCTGGGATTGAGTGCTACACAGTTAGAAAAATCTGGTGTGCAACCAATTGCTCATTTGAATATCAGTAAGATTTTACTAGTTTTAGGAGAGACTTATGGGGAAAAAGAAGATCCTGAGAGTCTTCAGGACTTTAACACAGACAGTCTGCATATTGTTTTTCCTATGAAAAAGGCATTCCGTTTTATTTTGGATATGTCAGTAAGCACTGCAATAAGTTTGGAACTGTCTAATATCAAATGTGTGCTGGACAGTGAGTGTTCTTATTTCCTAAGTGCTTTGGTAAAACTTCAAAACAATCCAAGGCTATTGAATCTTACCTTGAACAACATTGAAACAACTTGGAATTCATTCATTAATATCCTCCAATCGGTTTGGCCAACAACCATAGAATATTTTTCCATATCAAATGTGAAACTACAAGATCAACTTGACTCGAGGGATTTTGATTATTCTCATACTTCTCTGAAGGCCTTGTCGATACACCAAGTTGTCAGTGATGTCTTCAGTTTCCCACAAAGTAACATCTATAAGATCTTTTCAAATATGAATATCCAGAACGTTACAGTGTCTGGTACCCACATGATCCATATGCTTTGCCCATCCCAAATTAGCCCATTTCTGCATTTGGATTTTTCCAATAATCTCTTAACCGACATGGTTTTTAAAGATTGTGGAAACTTAATTGAGTTGAAAACACTTAGTTTACAAATGAATCAATTAAAAAAACTTGCAAACATAATTCATATGACTTCGGAGATGAAGTCTCTGCAACAATTGGATGTTAGCCAGAATTCTTTAAGGTATGAAGAAGATGAGAAGACGTGCTCTTGGACTAAAAGTTTATTAAGTTTAAATCTGTCTTCAAATATACTTACTGACTTAGTTTTCAGCTGTTTGCCTCCCAAGGTCAAGGTACTTGATCTTCACAATAACAGAATTATGAACATCCCTAAAGAGGTCACCTATCTGGAAGCTTTGCAGGAACTCAACGTAGCATTCAATTCTTTAGCTGACCTTCCTGGATGTGGTACCTTCAGCAGCCTCTCTGTACTGATCATTGACCATAATTCTATTGCCCACCCATCAGCTGATTTCTTCCAGAGCTGCCAGAAAATGAAGTCAATACAAGCAGGGAGCAACCCATTCCAATGCACATGTGAGCTCAGAGACTTCATCCAACATATAGGCCAACTACCAAGTGAAGTGGTAGAGGGCTGGCCTGATGCTTATAAGTGTGACTACCCAGAAAGCTATAAGGGAACCCCACTAAAGGACTTCCATGTGTCTCCATTATCCTGTAACACAGGTCTGCTGATTGCCACCATTGGGGTCGTGGTGCTGGTGTTAGCTGGTTCTGTGACTTTCTTCTGCCTCTACTTGGATCTGCCCTGGTATCTCAGGATGGTGTGTCAGTGGGCCCAGACTCGGCACAGGACTAGGAACATCCCCTTGGAAGAACTCCAAAGAAATCTCCAGTTCCATGCTTTTATTTCATACAGTGGGCATGATTCTGCCTGGGTAAAGGGTGAATTACTCCCAAACCTAGAAAAAGAAGATATCCGGATCTGTCTCCATGAAAGAAACTTTGTTCCTGGCAAGAGCATTGTGGAAAATATCATAAATTGCATTGAGAAGAGCTACAAGTCCATCTTTGTTTTGTCCCCCAACTTTGTCCAGAGTGAGTGGTGCCATTATGAGCTGTACTTTGCCCACCACAATCTCTTCCATAAAGCTTTTGATAACTTAATTCTGATCTTGCTAGAACCCATTCCACAGTACTCCATTCCTAGCAACTACCACAAGCTCAGAACTCTTATGGCACAAAGAACTTATTTGGAATGGCCCATGGAAAAGAGCAAACATGGACTTTTTTGGGCAAACTTAAGAGCAGCCATTTGCATTAAGTTGACGGCTCAAGGAAAAGAAATAAATCACACACAGAGCTGAAAATATTTCTCTTCTCAAAGTTGCTGTTTTTGGAAGTTCCAACAACGACTTTATTTTGTATCAACATAAATCTAAACAGGAATTTAACTTCACGATGTAGTTAATAATGTGTAATTTCAAGGCCTCTGTTCATCATTTTTATGTGGCAATAAAAATTAATGAAATGATATAATTTCAATTAAATTGATTTAATGTTAAATTTGATTCATCTTTTTTCTATAACTACATTCATTGAATTTATCATGAAATCAAGAGGAGCATTTGTTTCTCTTCAGTGATGTATTTCTGTGTGCTGAGATCAATATTAGAAAACTCCATGACCTACCTACCTATAACTGGGTTCCTACAGCAAATTTCTGCAGCTGTTGGTGCCCTCTGCGTTTCTACTCAGCATTTGCCTTTTCATCTTGAAGGCTGCTCCTTGCTAATGCCAGAGACTCTATGCCTGAGGTTTTTTTCGCTTTTTTTTTTTTTTTCCCCAGACCAAGAGGCTCACAAAAAGGGCAATTCAGAAAAGCTGTAGAGTTCTTAGAAGCAGCCTTCAACCAATGTCAGAAAGAGAATTGGTGGATAAATCCTCCAACTTTTCTCTTCCATTTTTGGAGATAAATCTGGGGGTGTACTTTATACTCTTTCTGATTTTCCCAAGTGGGATAAGATAATCTCTGATTGTCCACAGTAGAAATGGTTTAACAGAGTGCTCTTTTTTTAAATATTTATTTTATTTTTTAGTTTTTAGTTTTCGGCGGACACAACATCTTTGTTGGTATGTGGAGCTGAGGCTCAAACCCTGGCCGCACGCATGCCAGGCGAGCGCACTACCGCTTGAGCCACATCCCCAGCCCCCAACAGAGTGCTCTTTTACTTTTTTTCTCATTTTCTCATTCTTGTATGGATGTTTCCTGGGAGCTGTTGCATCCTTCACTAAGAGTCTTCTTCTCCTCTCCTGCTCCTTCTCCCTCTCCTTCCCCCTCTTCCTCCATGTCCCCCTCCCCTCCCCTCCCCTTTCTTCCCCTCCTCTCCTTCTCCTTCTCCTTCTCCTTCTCCTTCTCCTTCTCCTTCTCCTTCTTCCTTTTGGTACCAGGGATTGAAACCAGGGGCATTTTACTACTGAGTCATATTCCCAGCCCATTTTATTTTTTATTTTGGGACAAGGTCTTGCCAAGTTACTTAAGTCCTCGCTAATTTGCCAAGGTTGGCCTCCATCTTGTGATCCTCCCATCTCAGCTTTCCAAGTTGCTGGGATTACAGGTGTGCACCGCCACACCTAGCAAGAGCCTGCTTCTGTGGGAATGCAAACCAAGATAGTATTCCACCTTGGTTCAGATGGAAATTCCAAATCTGGTTTCCTGTGTCTGGAGCTCTTGCTGAGATTCTAGTTACATAAACTAATATGCACAAAAACCTTTCTCCTTTGACCAGAAGGAAGAATGTAGTTGAGGTGCAGTGTGCACAGCACTCCTATCTGTACAGTACACAGCACTCCTATATGCTCTGGCCCCAGCTCTCGGCTGCACCCTTTAATTCTGGGAAACACCAGTAGAGGTGATAGGGGATAAAGAAAAGACAGAGCCAGGCGGGGTGGCACACGCCTGTAATCCCAGTGGCTCGAGAGACTTAGGCAGGAGGATGGTGAGTTCAAAGCCAGCCTCAGCAACTTAGCAAAGCCCTAAGCAACTCAGTGAGACCCTGTCTCTAAATAAAATACAAAATAGGGGTGGCACACGCCTGTAATCCCAGTGGCTCGGGAAGCTGAGGCAGGAGGATGGGGAGTTCAAAGCCAGCCTCAGCAACTTAGCAAAGCCCTAAGCAACTCAGTGAGACCCTGTCTCTAAATAAAATACAAAATAGGGCTGAGGGTGTAGCTCAGTGGTTTAGTGCTCCTGGGTTTAATCCCCAATAACTCCCATATCTGCCCCCCCCCAAAAAAATAAAGACAGGCAGACAGACATAGAGGAAGAAAAAGCTGGGGCCAGGCGGGTAGCCAAACTGTGAAGGAGTTTGACTGACTCAGAGCTAGCTCAGCATATTGATTATATAGGTTTTATCAACAGGTTATTTGTGGGAAAGTTTCAGCAAAGTGGGCAATTTGAAGGATGCAGAACTGGTGAGACATTAGGGTTATCTTGTGGTGCTCAGAATTCTGTATCCCCAGGACCTGGTGCCTAAGCTCAAGGTCCCAACTGTGCACCTTTGCACAGTTTCCTCAGGCGGGCGTCACCATAGCAACTGGGCCACTTGACCTGCACCTTCACATAGGAAGTTCCCAGCACAACCACAGCCCTGAGGCCGTCAGACCACAAGTCAAATCCCCACTCTCCACACCTATCTTTGGAGAACTATTAAGCAGATAGGAATGGACTATGTCATGTATTTTTTTAGTTGTAGATGGATACAATATCTTTATTTATTTCTTTATTTTTATGTGGTGCTGAGGATCGAACCCAGTGCCTCACACATGCAAGGCAAATGCTCTACCACTGAGCTGCGGCCCCAGACCATGTATTTTTTTTTATATTTATCACATATCCTCTTATGTTTATCACATATCCTTTTATATTTATCACATGTTCTTTTCAATCCATCAGCTAGCTTGGGGCAAGTGTAACCTGACAGCATTTTGTCATAACTGCACCACATCTCTCACCTCATGCCCCATGGCTTCACTAATACAGCTACATGAGAGATGGTTGTGGAATCTTGTTCAACTATTCTGACACAGCCCCAAACCTGTAAGTGAAAGACATCATTTGAAGGCAATCCTTGACCACCACAGGGTGGGAGCCACTAGAAAAATACTCCTCTATTCTTGGGTTAAAGACTGGGACATAGTCTATAGTGTTTCCTGAACAGTCTCCAATAGCACTGAGTCATACTCACCCATAGGGAAGACCAGTGTGTGATTCCCTCTGGGCTGAATTTCTTTTCTTTGTTTTACTCTTCTCAGTCCTCTCGCTCTTGAGCTCTGACATTACTTCTCCAAACAATCTGTACACAAAGTTCTTGTCTCAGTTTCCCCTTTTACAAGAGGAGATTGGGGGTACCCAAATAATTGGAACTTACAGTGAATTAGAGGACCATATATATATATATATATATATATATATATATATCTGAGTAACTAAAATAAAAAATAACAAGAATACAGAATGAAGGTTTAGAAATCTTCTAACTTAACTGAAATGAGTCTTCTTAAAAATGGTAGTTTTTCTGTCAGGTCTTGGAGGAAGAATTTAACTTTGGAATGTTCAATGTGTGGTGATGCGCGATGGAAACACCATTCTAAATAGAGAGGTTCAGAGAGCAAAGGCAGGGACTGGTGTCCCAGTTTAATTGGGTCATGAAGTTCATGAAAAATGACAGTAGAATATAAATGTGGAAAGTTCATTGAGAGTATTATGCTAAGTGATATAAGCCAGTCCCCCGCCCAAAAACAAAGGCCAGATGTTCTCTCTCCTATGTAGATGCTAACATATAATACGGGCAGGGGTGGAAAGAACAGAAGTTCATTGGATTAGACAAAGGGGAGTGAAGGAAAGGGAGGGGGGATGGAAATAGGAAAGGCAGTAGAATGAATCAGACATCACTTTCACATGTTCACATATGAATACATGACCAGTGAAACTCCACATCGTGTATAACCACAAAATGAGATCCTAATTAAAATAAATTATACTCCATGTATGTATGATTTGCCAAAATACACTCTACTGTCATGTATACCTAAAAAGAACAAATAAAAAAAAATCCATTGGATAACTGTTTTCATATAATCCCAAATAAATTTTTATTATAAAAAAGATCATATTGTCAAAATTGTCTTAAATCAAGCTGTGGAGTTAAAACTTAGAGATTTAGGGAACATCATCTAAATTTCTATGAAACGTAACGGTGAGGAGCACATTCAAACCATGAAATGTATGCTAAAGATACAAAAACTCTAACGGAGTTGCAACTGCTGTTATTACTGGATTTTCCTGTTTTCTCTAGGGTGACCGCACTTCCTGTATTGAACTTCAGGGTTTCACAATCAAGTTTCAACTGCTCAGCAAGCAGTTGTGCTTAGATTTCAGGGACTGCTGTAGCAAGACACCACAAAGGGTGACCTACGCAACATTTAGACATTTATTGATTCATTGTTCTAGGGGCTGGGCATCCAAAATCAGGGAATGGCTGGGGCTGGCCCCTTTTGAGAAGGGGAAGGGAAAGACCTGCTCCCAGCCTCTCCTTGACTTGTATCTGGAGGTTTTCTTCCTCTGTCCCTTCACACCATCCTCCCTCTATGCCTGTCTATGTGTCCAAATTTCCTCATTTTATAAGGACACCAACGATGCTGGATCAGGAACCAGACTCATAACCTTACCTTACTTAATTGCATCTACAACAATCCTATTTCCAAAATGGTCATGTTCTGAGATACTGAGGTTTGGGGATACACATTTCAACCTATACCCCTGTGTTAGACTAAAATATATATCTGAAGGAGGGCCTAAAGTTGCTTGAGTTTATCTAGCAAACTCAAGATTTTGAGGATTGAGATCCGTCCTACGTGTAAATACCTGATCTCTTCAGGGTCTAGGGAGGTTTCTACAAGGTTGAAATCATGTTGGTGGGGTCTCCTGCCAAAGAATTCCAAGTAGTTGGGAGATGAAGAATTCAAGTCAAAATAATTCAAGTCAAAATATGGATAAATACAAAATAATGAAAATGAGAAAGATTCCAAAGATAATGAGAAGTATCACAGAATGGGTAAGTATGCAAGCTCTGAATTCGAAGATCTGGGTTTTAATTCTGGCTTCATTACATGTATGTGGATGGCCTTGAACCAAAGACTTAAACTTCTTAAACCTTGATTTCATTATTTGCAAAATGTACCCTCAGAGTAGCTAGCCATGACCTTTAGATTTTCAGGTATGAATTAAAGATTGGTCCAATATGTCCCCAAACTACAGAATTCACACAATGAGCTTTCTAAATGGTTCAGGTGAAGCCCCTCTTCCTAGGATTCAGCTAAGAGGAAGCACAGTCCACATGCCCTTCTTAAAGGACTCATGAACAGCAAAGCTTGGCTCCAAAATTCTCTACTAAATTTTAACCCATCTCAGCCTCTCTGACCTCTTTTATTGGCTAGAGGCAGGTGCTCGGTAAAAGGCCCCAAACCAGCCATTTACTCTCACACCTCACTCACAGGAACTCCAC